CATTTGTTATTAATAAAGACACTTAAATAAATAAACCTTCTGCTTACCTTTTCTATTGTTTATAACTCTAAACGTTTTGAACTGTGTGCAACACTATCAAAAATTTTCTAATGGTCATTTTTAGCACATTTTCTTAAATATCTCGGCATTCTGTAGTCCGTTCATAATGTAACACATATCATTTTGAAGAACGCATATCAGCGCATACGATGGTCCTTGTTTCATAGAATTTAAATCGATCGATCACGAGATAATAGCCTCCGTAACTATTATATTATTATACTATTTTATAGAAATTGGTTTTTATGGCGTAACAAAATCATTTAAGATGGATTTGTCTTCAAATTTTTTTTTCATTTTTAATATTATTGCAATTATCTATGATATTGCTGATTTCAGATGTGATTCACAAAAAATTTTTTTTTTTTTTTTTAAATAATAAAATTTGCACAGCCAATAGGAGTTTAAAAGTTGAATTTTCTTGAATTTGGTTATATACGAAGTAATACTTTGCTTGTTTTTAAATTGATGTGATAAGTTGTTGTATAAATTCAATCTTTAATTTAAGAGCTGTTGTCACACTGCCAACACTTATGCTTACATTCTAAATTTCTTTATATGTTTCTATGAAGTATTACTACGCAATTAGGAAAAGAGAGTCCTGTCGTTATCGGCAAATGCTAACGTGTAATTCTTGTGAACTACAACTGTTAGACAGGGTGTCAGAGCATTATTTCTTTTTAATTGCACAGTAATCTTAAGGCTTTCACAAGTTTATTATATGACTAATTCAAGTAAAGGTTTCTATACAAGTATTTCATGATCAACAATTTACAAGGTATCGAGTAATTATGATTTTAAGTAAGATGTTTATTGATAAGAATAGAAGTAAAAATAAAGAAAATAAAAGATATGACAAGAGAAAAGAAAGAAAAGAAAAGAAAAGAAATGAAGTATGAAACTAAAATGCAACACAATAGGCCTGTTTGCCTCTTAAAACTACTAAAAACTGACTTGTTAAATCCTACTTTTTACATGGTCTAAAAAGCTATACATTTATTAAAATACAGTATATAGGAAGATATAACTAATATGTCTAATATATCTGATGTGTCATATATGTCAAATCTGTCTAATATATCTTATTTGTCGATCATGTCAGATATATCATATATGTCAGACATGTCAGAAATATCAGATTTGTTAAATTAGTCAGATTTGTCAATCATATGCATCACATAGGTCCTATTATATTTTATTCGTTCACACCATCGATTTTGCAGTGAAATCTAGTTTTATGATTCTTTACCAAAAGATGCCACCTTACAAATGCCAATGAATAATTCTCAGATCCTTCTAAAAAATGCACAGTATACTCAAAATAATATTAAACAATTCCAAGTTAAGTTTTTTTAGTATTTACATGTGTAAATTGAGATAGAATTTTAGACAATCAAATGTGCCTTTTAGAGTATAATGATCTGAAAACTTCAGAGCCAAGTCATAATCACCTGTGAATATTCATCTTTGAAAGTACCGGTATAGCTTCTAGATTGACAACATAAATGTTTGATAATGCTACAAAATCTTTGTTATAGGCATTGCAATAATATTCAACTAACAAATCTAATATTTCTTTTGATAGGTTTGTATTTATTCTTTTAGGATTAAAAAAAGTATCTGGAAAGAATTCTGAACTTGTTCTAGCCATTTTTCAACATTTCTAGATATTGATAAAAATTCACAATAGTCTATTCTATTGAGTTCATCTTGAATTGTAAGACTACCGGTAGTCTCTTATGGCGCCATCAAAGGTAAACAAGCTAATAAATGTTGATGGTTCTAAGTATATGAAGAAAACTGATCAAGCAGGGAATTATATTGAATGGTTTTCAATAATTCTGGCTCAATTTTTCTGTTACTCGTATAGTATAAGCCTTAAATATAAAATAATTTAATAAATACGAAGTAAATATAGTAAATTTGATAGAAATATTATAATTACTCAAGAACTATTTATCCTTTTATAACTAAAGCATCAAAATCATATAACAGACCATAATCTAAAGCATAATGGCAAATGTGTAGACATAAATGTAAATTCAGTGAAATTTTTTCTGGATTATAATTCTTCTCGATAATCTTTACTATTGTTAAGAGTCATTCGTAAGCAACTTTTAACCCATTTTTAGATACAGTACTGCATATAAAAATATTGCATGCGCAAATAAAATTGGTAAGAATTAAACTATCTGATTTTCAAAGCAAATCTCAAGTAATCATAGTTGCGTACACAAGGATGAAAGTTTTTCACAGATTTGTGATAAAATCGAGAACTCCTCTCCTATATCAATTCTATATGTAATCCTGCCAATATATGCTGGAACTTTTATTAGCTTAGCCCTATTTTGCATTGTTTTAAGATCATTTTGTTTCAATCGACCTGCTTTAATCCATAATACTGTTATGATCCATTTTGCAATACCTAGAAACAAATAATGCATAGGATCAATAATGAGAAATCAGATCGAATCAAAATATGTGAGTCAGTACATTTTAGACTAGTGTACTGAAGTATTATGTATATGAATAATTCTAGCATCTTTAGTATTACAGCCCAACCATTCTTATGCATTTTTTCGAATTTGATCAATATTCCTTTCAATATCGTCAAATCCACCAAAATTTGGTTGATTACAATCATTAAATTGTGCTTTTTTAAACATCTATAATAAGCCATACATGCAGATATATAACTGCAAAGCTTTTTTGCAGCTGGGATATCACAAGAACAGCATATTATTGCAACTCTAATAGGCTTATTAGTACTTTTATATGTTGCTGATAATTCAATCCCATTCTATAATTCAATCAATTGATTGACTATTAGACCCAAATAATGATTTATACAGTGCAGGCTTAGCTCATTTGGATCAGAGATTAAAGTTATTGTCAAAACATTCGATGGCTGGAACCTTTCACTTTGTGAAAGATTGCATATTACACTATACATAGCTCCTACACTATAATTGATATTATCAAATGGCTGAAACCAATTGATTTTTAGCATAATTCCCAGATATCTATCACTTCTTTCTGAAAAAATGGTATATTTTGGTTTTAGTTCCAGAATGTTTTCCAAACTCTTCCATTGTAAATATCATTCAAATATTGAGAATCATATCCTGATCTGCCCATTTTCTGCATGATTCCTTAAATCCTTTTTGATTGTACATCAATTGTAATTGGTGTTTACAATTAACTGTTAGATATATTAAAGAAGGCCTATATAATGCTCTGTCTATAGTGTTAACTGTTTTGATAAGTTTTGCCATACATTCTTTTCTTTAATTTGCTATTGAATGGTTTGATAAATCGATATAAGTACAATGGCTTTTAACTGGAGATTGAGTAGGCTCAGCAGTTGATATCTCCGCTATATTATATAATTTACAGCATTTTTCACATGCTACATATTTTACGATATGAGCACATATGCTAAATATTTTTCGTGCTATATATAGTGATATGGGAAAAGCATTATATATGCTTGCGTTCAGAAGAATCAAAAGATATCTAAAAAATTTAATTAAAGAATCAGTAGCAATATTAGATAGCTTAATAATGTATTTTCTTCAATTTACTTTTATTATTGTCAACCGATGGATTATTAGATTTTTTTATAAAAGATTTTTTCATTTTTCAATATGTTTTTGGCATTGTAGTTAATAATTTTTTTTAAAAAAAAATTTTGAGATGATATATTTACATTTATTGTACAAAAATCGTATATATGTGTGTTTATAAAATAGTATATTTGGTATTAAGTTTAATTGACAAAACTTTAATAGACATCTAAATAAGACAATTAAATCTAAATATAGATTAATTTATGAATATAAATTGATTGATTCCTAATGTTGATAAATTGATTTTCTATTTCGTTAGATTGATTTCGTTTGACTATTAATCAAAAAAAAGAGGTATTATTTATTAGTATGAAAAAAAAAATAAAAACAAAACAAAAAAAAAATCATTTTTTTTTCTTCAAACTATATTTATTTTTCTCTTGATTAAAAATGCGCAATTGAAAATCATTCAAAATTAATACAATAAGTCAATGACGTTTAAGATCATACTATACAAGTTCACAAAGTCGCCATTCATCAAGAATGAATAACCAAAATACTCTCTTGATTCATTAAATTCTTTACCAAGAAAAAATACTCTCGTCTTTTACCGGAAAGGAAAAGTTCAAGATACTTTCGTTACTTGTCAAGTCGTTCATCAAGGTAAAAAAGTACATATTTATAAAATCTACATTGAGAACCTAACAATCTTTAAGGATCAGAAAGGATTGTACACCAAGTACTAGAAGAAATCATTCGCCAAGTATTTAAAGGAGCTGTTTATCATCTGTTTGGTATTCAAGAGATCGTGATAATGACCGCTCACCATCTATTAGGAATCTAAGAGGTCATGATAATGACCGTTCACTTATCATTATGAATTCGAAAAGATTTAGTAATAGTCATTTGCTAAGTATTCAAAGGAGCTGTTCATCATCTGTTCAGGATTCAAAAGGTCGTGATAACAATCATCAGAAATCCAAGAGGTCATGATAATGACTATTCATCAATCATTATGGATTCGAGAAGATTTAGCAATAGTTGTTCGCCAAGAGGATATGATAATAGTATGGTATGGTTTAGTTGATATTTTTTAAAAAAAAATATATTTTACTGTTAATGATATTAATTTACAGTAATCAAGGCCCTATGTAGAGCCGTCAACGTACTTACAGAAGAGGTTCGAAACATCAAGGCAGCCTTTTTTTTAATCACACCGTCTCCTTTAAAGAATAAGTCAGCTTGAGCATTAAAGAAAGCTTGAATGTCAAAGGATCCCCACTTTGGTGTTGGTTCCAACAAAAATTGTTTTGCCAATGCCTGAGGATATTGTCTAACCACCTTATTATCATCTAGCGAAAGGATCGTTCTTGCCGCGCTCGCTGCTCTAAGGATCATACCATCATATTCATTAAGAGCTTTACAAAAATCGGTAAAAGTGGCATTAACCGTTATTGGGGTATCTAGTATGATTACATTGGTTATTATTTCCCCTGCCACCTTAAAAGCATTTTCGCTGTAGTACATATAACTTTATCCAGAACTCCGCAAGAGAAATCAAATTTAAATGCTTCTTTTGCAGCCAAGGAATTGATTTCATCTTTTTGTGATTCTTTGCCTACATCTGCCGTCAGTTTACCTTTTATCTTTTTTTGCAAACCACATATTGAAGAGATTTTTTTCTCAAACGGCTTAAGTGGATTTGGACGTTTCCAACACTCTGCATCTACTATTATAGAATCAATGCTGATAGAAAGTAAAAATAAAAGTTTGAATGAAACCGATGTTTTCATCTTTAATATGTATATGATTTATTGAAAATGAATAAAATGAAAAATGAATGATGGAGGCTTTCCGGAAGTCTCCCATGAAATGATTTCCGTCAAGGAAATGAAGAGAATGAATGAATGAGAAATGCGTCGAAATCAACTAAAAAAAGGGGAGGAAAGGGTTATTTTTTATTATTTTATTTTATTTTTCTTTTTTATGATAAATAAGAGATCTAATTTCATTGCACATATTTATTGTTTTATTCCATTGACCACCCACGTTACGAAGACAAACTCCAATCCACTTTGTTTTAGTTTTGTTTCACTACGTAATTAATACAACAACAATATAATATACAATACTACAAAATAATATATTTTTTATGTTTCATGTACGTTAATTTGGTTTACACCCTTTTTTAGTAACATTTCGCAGATTGGATTTATTCTTGTATGAGTTGCAATCAATTTTGTTAAACTTAACTAGTTTAATATACCTCGGAAGATTATGATTTTATGATTGGAGGGGATTTAATGAATTGATAAAAATAAATTTTTGCCAAGACAATTTTTTTTTTGTATCTTCACTATTTCCATTGAAAAAAAAAAGATAAGAAAAAAGAAAACGAAAGGAAAAAGAATTAACAGCATGTTCCCATTGTATAATAAGGAAATTCATTCTTTAACCTTGTTAAAATGTCCCTGAATTGTATTACACAGATTTCAGGTCATTTAATTAAAATTTTTTTTGTTTCTTAATGTTATGCGCCAGAAAACATCAAACCATATTTCAATCAATAAATCAAGATCATTACTTACTACAGTACCCGGTACTATTCAAGAAAATTTCACGTGTAACGAACATTGGTGATCGACTATCGAAGATTTACGATCATTTTTTACTTTCACGTGATTGTTTTGATAAACAACGCGACATTTAATTTTACTATTTTTTCTTGATAGATGATAAATGGATGGACTTGCTTCAATGGTGAATTATTTTGTCCATGTATATACTTGGACGGCGCTGCCCTTATTTT